GCAATTGGGGTCGATGAATGTAGGGGTGTGAGAAGAGAGCGAAGGGTGGAGACGATATGGGAGACAGCATAGGATAACATTTGATGGGATCATATGCTAGTTAAGAAAGTTATTTTTGATTGACCTGTGAATAAAAATTCAATCATTGTGACTATTCATAAGAGCTATAATATTGGGGAAGTGACAGAAGTGACAAAACTAAATGAGGAAGCTTTTGTTTTTACCTTTAAATCGACAGAGGAGAAGGTACAGTTATTAAGGGGGAGACCTTAGTTGATACAAGGTCATTTCATGAGCATTCAACTCTGGAATAAATTTATAGTACTGAGTGAAGTTAATTTGATTTGAATCCTTACTGCATCTAACTCTATGATGTTCCCTTAAAAATCTTAAATGAAGTGAATATTTGCAGGATGGGGGTGCAGTCAGAAAAGTGGTCTAGTATGAGAAACATTGTATTAATGGATGCTTGAATCATGGGTTTGCTAGATTGCAGGTTTTGATTGATGTAAAGCAACCTCTTGTTATAGGTTTTTGGGTTACTCATCAAGATAAATTTAAAGTTTAGGTTCACCTTAATTATGAAAGGGTGCACATATTTTGTTACAAATGTGGATTAATTGGCCATGATAGTAGATGATGTAATATGTTGAAGCCATATGAGTTCTCGGAAGAATCAAACTATAGCCCATGGATATGTACAGGCATGGTTTATGATAATAATGACACTTTGGTTAAACATTTGTAAGAATGAGAAGAAGAAGACAGCTGAAGGACTAAGGAGGCACATGAAGGGGTTGCACCAGTAGCACATAAGGGGCATTTCTCAACGGTGTATCATCCCGCAACACATAGAAGTGATCTGAGGAAGGAGGAGTTCAGGTAGAGAGAGTAGTGGGTCTAATAGTGCAAATTACAGAGGTCAAGAATGATCATCCTTTAGTTGGTCACGAAACCTTTCCAGGAAGTGCACACGTAGCTGATGAGTTCTTGAGTTTTGGCTCAAGCCCGATTCATAAGATCAGGGCCTGGAACAATAGAATTAACCCAATGATTTTAGCTGGACCCAAAATAACTACTCAAATCATGCAAACTCCTAGTCCTAAGACAAGCAAAACAGTTGAGAAGAGCCCACAAAAGGAGAGTTATGAAGCAATTGTACCTTTTGGGATGCTATCCCCAGTGTTAGATATGTCGTAACAACTCAGTAGTGTCAATCTTAAGGGCTCTATTTCTACAAAACTATCCCCTTAAAATCTAAAATGCCATTGCTTGTTTGTGGAAGAAGAAGTCAAGTCTATAGCAGTTTTAGGGAAGGCTCCAAGTACAACTTCATGTAAATGTAGTTTTAGGAAAATTAAATAGGCAATATGCCAGAAGGGAGATAACTTGATAACACCTATTTTTGATATCCCACATACTTCTAAAATTGATTTCCCCCCAGCTAGTTTGAGAGTCAATCTAAAGGTTCTGATAGCTATCCTACATCAGCCATCAAGTCACCATGAGTTTGTTCTCTTAGAATTGCTAAGGTTTAGGGTCATCCTTGGCAAGTCAAAGCCTCAAGGAGGAGGTCAAGAAACATAAACACTAGATTGTGTTTCCAATAGAGATAAAAAAAATAGGCTTATTTTATGGATCGGGCGAGAAAGGAATGTAAGCTTGAAGAGAGTTAGTTGGTTCCTCTAAATGGTCATTCAAGTAGTCTAGCACTTTAACAATCATCTAAGGTAATAGTAAATATTATTAACAGCTCTAAAAATATCATTCATACTTTGATTGATTCTGTCATATGGGAGTTTCCACAATATATCACCTTTATTCATGGCCCCTCTAAGGAACAAGAGAGATATGAAGTGTGGAATCAGGTGAAGCGAATGGCTAGTCACATAAAAAGCCACATGGCTCTATATGGGTCACTTTAATGAGATACTCTCACAAAGTGAAAAGTAGGGTGGAAGTCATAAAAATATATGTCGAGTAATCAATTTCCAATGTTTTGTGGCTTATTGTGGTTTATTGAAGGTTGAATCAAAAGGAGCATCTTTCATTTGGTCAAATCAAAGGATTGGTTTAGTGCATGTAAAGGAGAAGTTGGATAGAGGCCTATATAATCTACAGTTCAAGGAGCAATTCGGTAAGGCTATAGATATTCACATTGAAACAGGTGCATCTGATCACTTATCACTTGCTTCTTAGAATCTGTTTAAACTTCCAAGATGTTCTCAGTCCTTGAAGCTTTAAATTTGATGCTAGATGGGTGTCACATCTGCAATTCCCATCCATTATAAAAGAGTGATAGGATAAAGTCAATTATTTTGAACGGGATAATCTGGATTTCTTCTTATGCTGTTTAGAGGATTGTAGAAGGGTGTTGGTAGGTTGGAGTTGTACTACTTTTCTAAATAGTAAGGCTGTCATTAAAAGCATCATAAGGAAGATAGAAGAATTAGAATTTAGTGTTTACTCTGAAGATAGTAAGTGAGAGATGGAAAGTCTTACTTCTATTTTAGAAGAGAAATGGCAAAAGGAAGAGTTATATTAGTGGTAATGCTCAAGAACCAATTAGCTTCGAGAAGGGGATTCTAATACAAAATTTTTCCATAAATCCACTTTGATTAGAAGATAGAGAAATAAGATAGTTAAGCTTAAATATGATGATAGAAATTGGGTAGAAAATGAGGAGGATATAGCCCAACTAGTAGGCAACTACTACAAGAACTTATTTACCAGTGAAGTGGCAGGATATATGGATTTGGTCATGAACTACATTCAACCTAGGATCTCTGAAAGGAAAAATTTGGCCCTCACTCACCAATGACTAAGTCTAAGGTGAATGATACAGCATTCCAATTAGGGATGTTTAAAGCTCTGGGGCCAAATAGATTTAATGGGCATTTTTATCAGTCTTTATGGTTAGAGGTAAAATCATCTTTATGTGCTATGATTTTTGATTTTTTTTCAATAGTACACATAAAGTTGATCGGTTGAACGTGACTAATTTGATTTTGATTCCTAAAGTGAAAAATCCAAAAGCAATGACTCAATTTTGACCTATAAGTCTATGTAATTTTGCTTACAGGATTATAGCAAAAATTCTAGCTAATAGGTTGTGACTGGTCTTAGATGGTTGTATCTTTGATTGCCAAAGAGCCTTTGTCCCTAATAGACTTATTCAAGACAACATTATTATTGCTCATGCAGTTTTTCACTACCTAAAGAATAAGAAAACGGGTGGCAAGTATGAATTTGCTATTAAAATGGACATGAACAAAGCCTATAATAGGCTCGAGTAGAGTTTTTTATAGAATGTCATGCTCAAAATGGGCTTTTGTTCAACATGGGTGAAGTGGATCATGATGTGAATTAGAAGTGTCCAGTTTAATGTGCAAATTTCAAGAAAAACAATGGCTGTAGTTTCACCATAAAGGGGTCTTAGATAGGGGGATCCTCTTTTCCCATATCTATTTATTCTTGCCTCTGAGGTCTTCTCCACTATGCTTGCAACTCATGCTACTAACGGTGACCTTATTAAGATTAAAATTAATCGAGCTTGTCCAATGTTAACTTATTGTTTATTTACATATGATACTTTAGTTTTTCTGAATGCTGGTATTCAAAATTATGCTCTTTTTAAAAGGCTTTTAGATGATTATTATCATGCATCTGGCCAGGAGCTCAATTGTGACAAGTCTAGTGTCTTCTTCTCAGTCAATACTCTAAGATATATGAGAAGCAGTATTATAGAAGCTTTAAACATTGATGGGGTGATGATCCAAGGCATTACTTGGTCTCCCAATCCTGTAGGATAGATCTAAAACTGCTGCTTTGGCTTATGTCTGTGACAAAATAAGGCATAAAATTAACAGTTATAAATAAAAAATTCTTTCATTTTTCAGTAGAGAAGTTATGATAAAGGCTATGATTAATGCCATTCCCATATTCCCTATGCATGTTTTAAATTTCCAAAGCAAACCTGTGTAGAAATATACAGAATGCTAGCAAACTTTTTCTAGAACAATAAAGACAGGGGCAGTGGTTTATATTAGAAATCTAAGGATTTTCTTAATATCCCAAAAAATGAAGGTGGGCTAGGATTTAAAGATTTTGTAGGTTCTAATATGGCTCTATTGGCAAAAATAGCATGGTGTATTTTGCAACAACCTGATAGCTTGTAGGTTCAGGTATTGAAAAGTGCTTATTTTTCACATTGTTCTTTCCTTAATGCGATCAAGTGGCCTAGAGCTTCATGGATCTGGGATAGCATTTTATTAGGCCGAGAACTAATAGTCAAGGATTTGTGCTGGCAAGTTAGAAATAGGACTTACATTCAAGTTTGGAAAGATCCATGGATTCTTGGTGCTCCTAACTTTGAGCTTACTAGACAACTTGGTGTAATAGTTAACGAGGAATTGGGTGTGGCATCACTTATCTCTAATGGAAGTTGGGATTTAAGTCTCATTCAGGACCACACTAAAGATGCAATGCTGAAATTAATAGAGAATATTCCCATTTTTGAGTCTAGGAAACCAGATAAGCTAATATAGTCTAGTTCTAAATCAGGAACATATGAAGTAAGATGCGCTTACAAAGTGGAGTGGAAGAGACTAACCCCCTCTAGTTCGGAGCTACAGAATACAAAGGTATGGAAACATCTTTGGCATGTCCATATAACTCCAAAAATTAAAATGTTCATCTAGCGATTGTTGCATTCTGCACTAGAAACTAATGATGCTTTGTTTAGAAAACATTGTAAACAACATCTTGTGTGTAGTATCTGTGGACAAGCCCCTAAAACTTTAAATCATTTGTTTCTCTTTTGTGGGTGGGTGAAATATTCATGGTTTGGCTGTTTTCTTGGTTTAGAAATGGATTCTATATCTAGTCCTTGTATTAAGAGCTGGTTATCTCACTTATTATGTGATGACTCTACTTTAGATGAATATGGGAAGGCATATATCTTATAGTTTTACTAGCATATATGGAAGTTTAGGTGTAGGATGATTTTTGAGGATGAACCTCCAAACCTAGGGGAAATTATAATAAAGATTGATGCAAGTCTTCATGAATTTTGGGGTGCTAACAGTCTTCTTAAGGCTACTGATATCAGTAAGCTAGACCTACAAGCAACCCTTTGGATAAGACCTCCTACTGGATGTGTGAAATTCAACTGTGATGGGGCCTATAAGAAAATGGATAGGAAGGCTGGTATAGGAATAGTAATACATGACTCTGATGGGAGTTTCCTAGGAGGTTGGCTAGATCAAGTGTGCGTAGATTCTGGGTTCTTAGTAGAAGTATATGCTATCAAAAGGGCTGTTACGCTTGCCCAATCTTGGGCTGGTGTGGAATTCATTTTTGAAACAAATTGCTCTGAATTATTCAACATTTGCACACTTAGATTGTAATGTTCTTGTGCTTGGCAATACAACACATTGGTTAATGACTTGTTGGGTATGATTCAATCCTTTAGAATGGTATCTTTCTCTCTTGTTTCTAGGAGAGGCAATCAACCTGTAGATTACTTGGCAGGATTAGCTTTAAAGGAAGTGGTACCTTTAGGTTGGGTGTCCTCACCTCCACCTTCTCTTGCTCTCTTTCTTTCTTAGGACTTGAGAATGTCACAACCAACTAAAGGCCAGATTGTGTTGGTGAATGAACATGAAGGCATTGGCTAATTAATTTGCTGTTACATGTTCCTTTAGATTCTATCTATTGTTTATTTTCTATCATTGCTTTTTCAGTTGCAGCACTTGTTTAATTTCCTATAATATTGTTTTTGAGGGCTTGACCTCTTTTTGCTCAATGAAATTCTTTGTTGGCTAAAAAAAAAAACAAACCATCAAAATATGACCTCCACCTTCATTTGATGGTTTTGTTGATAACCGTAAAAAATATCACCATCAAATTAAATATACCAAAATTTGGCATAGTGTTTGTATTGTGAAGTAGCTAGGGTTGGTGTATAAGCCCCTCGTGTTGATGCAATTGTCCTCATGTGGCTACTATCTCAATGCCTTTGTATTTTCTGTGAGTAAGGATGGAGCAAAGCGATTGGTAGTAGAAATCACCATGCAATAGTTCAGGGCAGTACTGAGAAGACACTACATCTTGCAACTTGAGAGATCATTGGTGCAAAAAGTTAAAATAACGTACAAGAAGATTAACATGGGAAGCAATATGCAAAAATATGGACCTAAAAATTAGGGGAAAATTAGATCAAGAGGTAATAATAATATAAAAAAATTATATTGTGCTAATTGAATAAATTAATTTAAATGTTATTAATTGTAAAATATGATACATCACAAATTTTGAAATCCGAAAATAAAGAGAACACGATATTAGATAATAGTGATCATGGGAAATGGAAGTTATTCTTGATTCAAAAATTTTGCATTTAAATCTAAATTTATAAATTTAAAATTTAAAAAATTTATATTAATAGGAATTAAGGGGTAGTTATTAGAATGAGAAAATCTATTATACTAATTAAAAAAATTAATTTAAACATAGATAATTTTAAAATATGATACATCACAAATTTATAATCCAAAAATAAGTGGGTTATGATATTAGAGAACAGAGGTCATCAAATATGAATCCCACCATCAATGTAAAAATTTTGTTAGTAGGTAATCTATAAATAATTTTGTAAGTGCTTTTCAAGCTTGAAAGCATGTCATGATCCTAATAAGCCCCGAAACCTAACTCATCTAAACTTTTTTTTCTATATAAAAAAAAGATCATCACATGTAGAAGTTATTATGATTCAAAAATTTCACATTTAAATCTAAATTCTATAAATTTAGAAGTTGAGATATTGAAACTAATAGGAATTAAGGGGTAGTTATTAGAATGATAAAATCTAGTATACTAATTAAATAAATTGATCTATAATCTAAATCTTATGTGGCTTCATGAAATTGCATAAGTCAAAAAATAATACACGAGTCATCCATAGGCTTTCAAGGTAGTTTCTCGGAGAAGTGAAAAGAGAAAAACGAAAATGACATTACAAAAGAAGGAAGAACTATGACCTGCTGAAAAAATCAATGGCGGGCAATTTGAATTCTAAAATACCCATTTATTCCACATACAATAATGGTATATTCACATTTCACATTTAAACTCTAACGAAGAATTAAAATTAATTTCCCAAATAGGATTTGGAGTGAAAAAGTTATGATACTTGAAATTTAAAAAAAAATTAAGATTTTTAAGATTAAAATTTAAAATGGTGAATATCCCGCAATAAGGGAAAATATTTTTGTTAGTTTTAGAGATAATGTTGATATTAATTTTTTTTCAAAAAATATTTAGAAATTAACATGATCTGCATAGTCAAGAATCGCATTATTTTAAAAAATGCATACATGTAAAGCTTAAAAGAGTGCTTGTTATTCTTCTATTATATGTGTATGTATATACATATACATATACATATACATATATATATATATATATATATACACACATATTGTAGATCATTTGTTATTCCGCTGCACTCTAATCCTCAACCTTCCAAAGTGCATATATCAGAGTTTAATCATCTTTCAAAAGATTTTTCCTATTCAAAATGATATTTTTCAAAATCGATAGTACTTGACTATAGGTTTTAGAACAAATAGATTAATATTGCTACATATTATAGCTTTGGCAAAACAAAAAACCCTTCCCCGGTGCCGAAATGTCTACATTAATGAAGAGATCGTACGAAAATCGTATGAAAAATCTAGAATCGTAATACATTATTCGTTCGGGTGATTCATTGTCCAACACAATTATAGCATCAAGTTCCTCTAATTCACTTTTGATATTGGTACCTATTGTTAAAGATATTGCCCATATTATTATATGGCTAAAATACATATTTAGTCCCTTAACTTTACACCATATTTTATTTTAGTCTATTCATTTTATAAAATATTTTTTTAGTCTTTTGACTTTATCATTGTTAATTTTATTTCAACAAATTTTTATATTAATTTTTCAAATATTGACAAAATATTTTCAAATGTTGACATATTAAGTTTAATTTTTTAAAAAAATAATAATAATTGATACAAAAAATAATCATTTAAAACTAAAAATGTTAGGATTGAAGGATTAAAAAGATATTTTATAAAATTAGAAGATCAAATTAAAATATTATATAAAGTTGAAGGACTAAAAGTACATTTTAGCCTTACTATATTAAAAAAAACATTGCACAATCATCAACAAGCAACAGCACATTTTATTTTGGTTTTCAACCCATCAAAATATATATATATATATATATATAATGAATTATTGATTAACAAAATGTGTGGACCAAGGGTTTCTAATGTGCTTTTCTATGCTTTTTGTAATGCCTCAATTTTTCAATTGTATTTTTCTTTTTTCTTTTTTCTATCCTTGGCTTCTACATAACTTAAGCTGACATTTTAATTTTTTGAAGTCTCAAAACAGTAAAATTTTGTATTTTTTATGACTTTTCAAAAATAAAAAAGTGTAAGTGTCAATTTTTTCTTTAAAAAATCATAAAAAAAATACAAAACTTTACCTTCCTAAAACCTCAAGATATCAAAATATCTCTTATTTTATGCAGAATCTAATTATCCAAAAAAAATAGAAAAATGAAGTTAGAAAGTTGGGGCATTACAAAGAGTATTAGAGAAATACACATTAAAGACCATAAGCCCAAAATTTGCATATTCAATAATGAAAAGATCAACAGCGATTTCAAAGCGAACAAGCAATATGTCTGTCATCTTTTCTCAATAAACTCAACAGCACGTATATATTGATGATTTTCTGAAGAAAACAAAAAAGAAGAACCTCGATCTTACACTGGAAGTTTTCTGCCATAGCTTGGTGAATCAGAATCGATTGAAAGATCATCATTTCAAAGGGAAGCAATTTTCAAGTCTCCAATGGCGTCTTCTTCATCATAATCTTCTGATTCTGATGAGCTACTAGCAGAAGACTTGAGAAATGGCCTCGTGAAGATGAATACAATATAAAGGATGAAGACAAGCACAAAACCCAGAAGCATAATCTCTCCCTGTAAGGCAAAGTACTTGTCATCAGAGAGTTGAAGATCATCTATCTGTTGTTGTGAATCAAAGTAATAAGGCGACATGGAAGGTGCTGGTGCTGTAGCAGAAGCTTGCATTAATGGCGAAGCCATTATATTATAATTCATGTTTCTGCACATTCTTCTTCTAAGTTATATGATGTAGAGGGAAGCCTGCTTGTGAAGCTCAATTTTGACTCTTTCAAATGCCCCAAAGTTTGCTCTCTTTTGATTGTGCCATTACCTTTCACATATTTCGTCCTACTATAATGATTCTATGTTTTCTCTCTTTGTTGGTTTGTTATGTATATGGCACTTAAATTTAAAATAACTTATCTTACTTTGCTTGGATTTTTTCTTGGTGTGTCACAAAGTGTGACATCTAAGTTAACAATTAATTTAAAGATTCAAACCTTGCTTATAAAAAAATATATAATTTCTTCATCTCAAATTATAAAACACTTTGAAAAAATTAAATTTTTATTAAATAAGCTTATTTTAATATTATTATTTCTCTATCTATTTAATTCCTGTCTCTCTTTTTTTTTAATATATTAAATGAAGAATATTTTTAAAAATTTATATTTTTATTTTTTAAAAAATAAGATTGTCAAGTGTATTTAATAAAATTTATTAGTATATGAAATTTTATTTAAAAGTACCTTATAATTTTGGATAGAGAGAGTACTCAGGATGTGAGAGATACTATTGTTTAAGCCAACAATGCTTAGCATGAATTAGTTATAATACCAGAGAACCATATAGTTGTTATCGCATAATAAAGTCAATATTATACGTCTCGTTAAAATTATAATATATATATATATATATATATATTATAAACTAGATTTTGACGCCATTCGATCCATGAAAATATATTTTTACTTGTGTATAGATATTGTAAAAACTTGCTTGAGATATTTTTGAGTATTTATAATTAAGGATCTTTTATCATTTAAAGGGTAAGTATAAAATTAAATAAAATTAAAAAATTTATTTTTATATACTTGAAATATATTACTTTATGTAAATTTAAATTTAAATAAACATTTATTCTATTTTAAAATTGATTTTACCGAAATATATTTTTGCATGCTTCTAGTTTTAATATGTCACTTTATTTAAATTTAAATTTAAAACTTGCTTAATTTTTTTTTATTTTATACCCATACAAACTACAAGCAACAATCAAACCTATCATTTTTATTATGAATCTTATATTTGCTATTATTTTTTTTATCAAGGACCTCGCATTTATTTTTTTTTTTTCTACCATGAGGCCCACATGATATTTTAAAATACAAAATATTTTTTTAAAAAATTATTTCTGTAAATAAACAATAACAATGATATACTTTATATATATATATATATATATACATTGAAATGTCTGCAGTCAAGGAAAAAACACATCCTATCCTTGGTCAATTTTTATTTTTCCTATTAGGAAACAAAATTTTATCAGTCCATTACAAAAATAAAAACTAAAGACAACATTGTATGCTAGCGAATATTGGCGCTCTCTTTGACATAGATCTCTTTTCAACT